TTTGCAGTCAGTTTTAGTGATATACGCCAAAATGTGATAACAATTTTTATAAATTAACCATACTTTTTACTAATCAGCCTAATCGTGAGTTTCGCCCGAACAAAATTTCGCCAACAATTTTTTCATCCACCTGTAGTGAACACACGCAAACGAAAAGTGACCCGGTTCTAGAAAATGAAACTCATGATAAAGCTGAATATGTCGTAAACTAAAGAAGAACAGATAACTCTATTTAAAAGATCTTGATTAGTTTAGTACGACAGCAATACTAACGCAACTTGTACCAAATAACCGAAAAAATTTTAGTCAATTAGTCGGAAACTAAAGAAGATATCCAAAAACCAAAAATTGTCAAAATGACGCTTCCGGCAATTTTCCATCGAGGCGACGATATTTGAATAGCTTTGTATAGTTACCAATAGTCAGTACTAATTTGTACTGGAACCTGCAAACTTTTACTGGAAAAGTGTATGATAACCCAAAAATTTGCAAGAGAGCACTGAATCGAGAGCGTAACAACACGAGAGAGCTGCAAATTCTTGCTAGTGAAATTTTTACTAGCAGAAATTAGCTAGCAGAAGAAGAAGAAGAATAAATGTCAAAAGAATATATAAAAGGAGCGTTCCTTATCTCCCAGAAATAGTCAGAAAAAGTCCGAAGTAGTCAGATTTAGTCCAAAAAGCGTTCCTTAACTCGGAAATGACAGCAAAAATGAGAGAGCAACAGTCAGTGAGAATGACTCTCATCAGTCCGAAGTAGTCAGATTTAGTCAGAAGAATTTTTTCTGGCAAAATCCTGAAAAGTGTCAAACGCAACTGAATTTAAATTAACGGAAATTAAAGAATACGCAAAAAGTGAGAATAATCTAAAAAGTAAAAGAAATGAATTGAAATTGGAAGGAGGCAAAAAATAATTGATATAGTAAGTATTTATTGTGCTTGTGCTTGTGTGAATGTGTTTTGTACATACATTTCCATTCTTATTTGACGTTAGTTTTGTTGTTGCCAATCTTTGGACTAAAAATTTGGTTTTTTGCGTTCCTTTACTTTTCCTGTTATTCTCTTTTAGTGAGCGAATTTTGCTTACGCTCTGGCATTTTGACACTTTTCAGATTTTAGTCCAAAAGGATAAGGAATGAACCTAAAAAGTGGTGTTACTAGCTCAGTTGATTTTGTGTATGTGTTTCGCCGCACGGCTTCTGATATCAAATTGAAAAATTTTGTTTGAATTTCTACTCACACTTACAGGTTTTGACAGTTTATGCCGCCAAAGCAAAAACAAAATACATGTAAATTTTTGTTTTTGTACTCCTGCAATCACCTTATATTGATTCGCCTTGGCACAAATAAAAGTAAAATGAGTGGAAACAAAAATATTAATGATGTACTGGACAGTGTTAGTGCTTGTGTGTAAAGCAAAGAGTTTAAAACTGATTTATAAATAGTAAAATGTTTACAGCAAATTGTCAAAGCAGTGCAACAACTGTTCACTTGCAAGTTATTGCTAGTTTTGTGTTCAATAAGTTCTTCTGCTAGTTTTCTCTTCTTCTCAATTTAACGCTCTATTTTGCTTTTACGCTCTCGCTGCAATGTTACTGTTACTATACAAACCTAATGTTACTCGCATATTTTCGAGCCTGTATGTACATTTTCGGGAAAAAGGTTAAAAAGTGTATCCATCTGCTGAAAAGATATTTTCGCAGATTCACAATTTATTTAAAATAAATCTATTACCCCAATCTCCAATTCCATGTGAATAAATCTCCCCAGTGCTTAAATAATTTTCACCACATTAAATAGCTGCACAACACCCTAATTGCCGAAAAAGCGTTGCTTGCAACACTAGTCCTTTATGGGGACCAAACTTGGCGAAAAAAAAATAGCTAAGTTTGTTTACTGGATATACTGAGGTTCTCTCCACGGCCATCGATGTTGCTCGATACATCGATGTTTTTGTACAACCCTAATCGAACGAAGAGAATCTCTGGAATCGGTAGTGCATTCCAATGACTTCCAATGAATTGACGTTTGGCAGTTTTTGACATTTCGTTTTATTAAAAACAAAACAAGTTAGTGACTTTACTTGCAAAGTTCGTTGGAAAATAGGTATAAATTAACATTAAAGTTGCTTTATCTGCATCATTTTTTCGTGTGGTATTGTAAGAAAAGTACAATGAGTGGTGGCAAACATTTGGCTAAAGGTAATTTAAAACAGGCTTTTATTTAACAAAATGAAATTGGGCTCATACCACAGTAGGGCCACATGCACATTTCACAAGAAATTCGTCCAGTCATGCTTAAATATCATATTTAAAATCTGCACGTAGTATTGATTAATTCGTTATCGGATATAAGTAAAAAAAAAACCTGAGTATGCTTAACATTTTGTATGTAATCCATTTTGAATTTCTTGTATTGAATATGCACAAATATTTTAATCATTAACAAATATGTAGGATCGCAAAAACCGCAATTGCCGGATGATGGCGTAATCCGCTTGTTCTCTATGCGCTTTTGCCCATATGCTCATAGGGCGCATTTAGTCTTAGATGCCAAGGGCATTCCATATCACACCATTTTTATAAATCTTACGGAAAAACCGGAATGGCTTACTGAATTCAGCCCATTGGGCAAAGTGCCGGCAGTATTATTACCGAAGGAGGAGGGCAGCCCAGCTTTAATTGAGTCTCTCATCATTGCTGAATACCTCGATGAGAAGTACCCGGAAAAACGACTTTTCCCTAAAGATCCTCTAAAGAAAGCGCAAGACAAAATACTCATTGAGCGATTCAACCCTGTAGTTAGCTCCATGTATAAAGTATTTTTGGGCGGAAGTGAAGGGGCTCCTGGTGCACTAACTGACATCTCAAAGGGATTAGATGTGTTCGAGAAAGAGCTGAGCTCCCGTGGAACACCCTACTTTGGCGGCGAAAAGCCAGGCATGTTAGATTATATGATCTGGCCGTGGTGTGAACGTTCTGAAATGTTGAAATACTTACTACCGGATAAATATGAAATGGATAAAGATCGCTTTGGAAAGCTGGTAAGATACTTGCTTACCTTTACTTACTCAAAGTGAAATGTGTATAACATAATCCATTATATATGTAGATTCAATGGCGTGACCTGATGATAAACGATCCTGCTGTCAAAGGATTCTATTTAGATGGTGAAACACATGCCAAGTTCATGAAAGCCCGTCGTGAAAATGTTCATGACTACGATATGCTCGTGTAAGACTTTTCTAGATGTACACGCGTCATAGCATACATACATATGTATGGATTTAGTGTTAACTTTTATTTTTTATATTTATATACATACCTGTGTGACTAACATTTTTGCGACATTCCTACAGTAATCAAAGCCTATGAGCTTCTATATTAAACACCGTAATCGACTTCTATTAACCTTGTGTACTTTTTATAAGTTTTGAATGTAATTAAAACTCTTACTATTCATGCACTGATATTTTATGTTTGATTTCATTTTCAGGAGCGATGCAAAGCGGCAAAAAACTTGTTGAGGATTAAACGTTTTTTAATTTGATATTGGAATATTTTGAAGTACACAAATATCATTAAATTCCATTGATTTTAAATCAGTCGGGAAACGCAATCACGCTTTACATATCCTTGTAATTGTCTTTAATCATTCTGTATACATCACACATACACACATATATATGTACATATTTTTGTACGTATATATCTAACGCTTTTTCACTTTAAGAAATCAAATACAACACATTTGTTTCGTAATAAATTGTCAAGGTGTATGAGTGATTTCTGTTTGAAGGATTTGATAGTACGCCCGTATATATGCATATATGTATGTACATATATGCATCGCGGCATCTACAAATGCATATACATACATACATACACACATCCATATGTAGATAAAATTGACTTGATAACACAGCGGTCAATATAAGTATCAAAAACGCGGCAATTCTCGCCATCCGTTTCCATTCGATTAGATTAATTCAATTTTGAGTGAAAAAATCTGTTATGACATTAGAGAAAAATACTTTATTTAAAATTGCATTGCTGCATAAACTGCTTAAATAGCTAAATACAATATAATATATTTTGAATTTTTCTGTTTTCATATCTCAAATACGTAAAATCACGATAAATGTAAATATCATTTGTGGATTTGGAATGAATTTTCAATTATATTAAGTCAACTACACACACATAGAGAGAGAAAATTGAAAAAGATACCTTTTCCATACCTGTTAAGGACTTGCATGTACATATGTATGTGCATACACACATATACACAATCTTATGTATACTTGTACAGGCATACATGCATATGTATGTGCATATCATGCACAAATTTAGGGATGTATGTATGTAATGTGTAAATGGTATGGAGAGGAGTTATCCTTCGAATCAGTTTTTTGTTTTTCAAGATTATAATTAACAAATATTTTAGTATTTTTAAATAGCATATTCAAAGGTGTCCACATCATTAAAGTTTACAACTTTTTCATTTTCAATATGCTTGTATGTATTGATCACATACATATGTATGTACATATGTATATCCATATGAGCCTATGTAAGTGGGTATATTTCACAAAAATATTTTATTTAGTATTACAAATGTATGTACATATGCACATACCATCATCATACGTTTGTTGTTTCGCAAATCGAAAGTTATCTGAAAGTGGTTTCGTTTGTTAATGTATCGAGCTCTAAACGCCAAAATAACGTAAGCGACATTTTTTCCAAAATTTTCTTTTTGATGCAGAAATGCATCTAGATACTCTAGGAATATTTCTGCATTAAAAAGAAAATTTTGAAAAAAGTGTCGCTTACGTTATTTTGGCGGTTAGGGCTCGCTATGTAGATGTGCATATGTACGTACATATTCATCTTGCTTGTGGGAAGTCTCAATCGCTTCATCATATCAAGTACACATACATGAAAAGTTGCTTTTATCTATTTTAAAATGTTTAACTGCCCGCTTCATTTTTTTTTTGTCATTGTAAAAATTTTGATTAAAATAGTATTGTTAGTATGATTTCATCATCATTAGTTTATATTTGGAACGACATAGGTAACGATTCTCACTCCACTTGCGATTGCAATACGGTGGCCCTTTCAAGCGTTTTGTGCTTCATTTCTATATCAGCGACTGTATCAGGCCTGGGACGATGTACTTATTTGTTCTGTAAGAAATTTGTATGCATAGGTTTTTTAATCTGATTTCTATTTCGTAACTGGATTCGATCTGATGCCGTCTTTGCATTTACACTTACCGTTAGATAAGCTGCTAGTAGCCACACTACTGATTACGCTAACATCAGCAGCATTTGATGGGAGCGACGTTGGTTCGACGCTTGTGCTAACACTGACGCTGAGGCCATTGAGTGTGTTTTGGCTGCGTTTGTGCACCAAGCCACTGCTGTGCGTGGAAAACTTTTTGCCACAAGCTTCGGAGCGCTCCGAGAAGCTTGCAGTTGATGGTGCTACGGCGGACACTGTAGCTGGTTGCGTTTCGTTGGCGGGTTGGTCATACGTTGAGCGATGGGTGAATCGTTTATGATGCCCCTGCTGCATTAGCTGTTGGCTGCTGTTGCAGGAGCTGCAATTAAACAAATTTTATTTGAATCAATGTACATATCGTCGTTTAAAGTACAAAATGGCGTATCAAGATAATGCAAAAACTTGCTTAGGTTTTATGCATACGGCCCATTATAAAAAGCAAATCAAAAACGATAGATAGGCCTTTTTAAAAAGTGACATAACTCCCTTGTTTTTGATTCTAACACTTTCAAATTATTAGAGAAGGTGTATTTTAAAATACCGTGAAAAACACAGTTTCGAAAAAAGTGTTGGTTTTAGGACCTTTGTGAATTAAGGTAACGATGTGTACATACATACATATGCACATTATGCATTGTCATTGATAAGAAAGGATGAATGCCTTCCACTTACCTTTTCTGCTCGTTGTCCTTTTTGCTATTGAACATGGCCAGCTCTATTTCGGTGTGTTCGTTGTTTAGATGTCGCACCCACTCTGCTGGGGTCTCAAAAGATCTAAGAAATATGTAGTTTCAAAAAATTAAGTACCAAAGGAATATGAAAAATTTCGTATTTATGTATGTACATACATGGAGCATAAGTCACAACATAGTGTCACATGAGCTGCGTTATTCTCCTGCTGCTGCCATTGGTGTTTGTAAAGTCTTCGTTAAACTGTGAATTGTTTAGTAATTTATTCTCACTCACCGACACTCTTCGACGTTTCTTGGGCAGGTACGCCTTGACTAAAGTGTCGCCCCCGTTGGTTATAGTGGCGGCGGTGTTTCCGCCGTTGCTATTCGTTGTGCCGCACGCCATGTTTATAGTTACTGAATCGGTCGATGATGTGTTGACGCTGTGTGACTCCAAATGCCTCACCCAAGATTTAGGCTCATCAAAGGATTGCTTACATATTTCGCATGCTAGCCGCGTATCGTATTCATTGGAGTCCGGTCCGGCTGTATCCTGCTCGTTTCGTGGGCTGTGCGGATGGGCGCCTACTTCGAGTTTTACTGCGGTACCACCTGTCGGCATTTTGAAGTCCAGCGGTTGTTTAGGGGAATTTAAAGGGGCCTTGGGTGGCCTAGATAATTCTGATAATGCATTATCGGAAGTGGTTGTGGTCGTCCAATCAGCCGGCTCTTGCTTGATCGCGAGAAAGTTTTGTGGATGTGACATTGGCGAAGTGTTAGTTAATCTAGCGCTGACTTGTTCTGAGAAGTGATGGTTGCTCTTAGTTGGCGTTGTGTTCGTATGCTCGTAGGACTCGGGTAAGAAGTAGTCTCGAACTGAAATGAGTTGGAAACAAAGATTAAGAAAAATTTAAGATTAATCGCCCTATTTTAATATTATTCAAAAACGCCCTACTTCAGAATTCTATTAAAAAACACCCTATCTTGGAATTTAGTTGAAGAACGCCCTATCTCAGCTGCCGATTCAAAAACGCCCTATCTCAGCTTATTTTCAATGTATTTTCATTTCAGATAGCGCGTTTTCTAATTCTAATTCTGAGATAGGGTGTTTTTCAATAAAATTCTGAAATAAGGCGTTTTTCAATCAAATTCTGTAGTAGGACGTTCTTGAAAAGTTTTCTGAGATAGAGCGTTTTTGAACTGGCTGCCGAGAAAGGTCGATCTTCCACTCAGCCATCGAAATGTGAATTCAAAACTTTAAAGCCGTTTTTCTCGAGTTCTGCTTTTTTGACTTATGACAGTTTTGAAAAATGTTGCACTAAGGAGTCATATTGAATACAATACGTCTTATTCACTACTAAATACAGAACATTTTCAATACGTACTTCGATCACCACTGCTTCGGCGTATATGCCTATCATAACTGGCCATTTCAATATCATCCCGCTGGTCCTGTTCATCGGGCGGTGGACGAGGTCGATCAGAGTACTCCCTTTCTAACCGCTGCTCAACAACGCTTGCATGAATACCCTCCTCATTTTGACTTCGTTGTCGTCGTCTCAGCTGGTCATCCTCCATCGATATGGGACAGTCCCCAGAGCAGCCCAATTCGTTGCACAAAGTAGTTGCCACTTGCAACTGATTTAACTGATAGCAACATTTTTCATCAGGATCTATTGCAACCTCTTTGTTTACTGATATACCCCCGCCTGTATGATGTTTACTATTTGACGCTGCAGCTGAAAGAAGCCTAAGCTGTGATAGTTTTGGTGACTTGACAATAACGGGACTATCTTTGGGCAATACGGACGCACCCAAACCACGGAACTGGGAATGTGTTGCCTGCATTTGCTGTGCGTGCGACGCCTGAGAGTGCTGTGTCGAGGTTGACTGTGTTGACAGCTGCTGCAAATGCTCCATGTTGTAGCGAGTACCACAACTCCCATTTCCACCTGTAGGACATTTGTTGACGACGTACATATCACCGGTATGAACATTGGGAATATGCGTATGTGAAATGGATGAAAGTGGTTGGCGGTTGGTTGCACTTTGAATGTAATGTGGACCACCGACGTTAGTTATTAGTGACTCTGTTCTCGGTGGCGGATTGTGCGAATTAACGGAAGTAGAAGAGGTGCGGCATAAACCACGGATTTTCAGTATTTCACCTCCTCGTAAGACTTCACTTAGTATATCGTTGGCGACAGTCGCCTCGCCACTGTACATGTACTGCACAAGAATTTGTATGGCGCGGTGGCTAAGATCCGGCGGAAGCACTATGTAGAGTACACCGTTTGGCGAAGAAATCGGTGCAGTTTCAAACATCGTTGCAAAAAACTGAGATAACGGAAAAACATTATGAAGTTACCTATTTGTAATTTGCCAAAAAACAGTGGGCATACATATATATATGTATGTATATCGCACACCATCTTCAAAGGAGTCACAACTCAACATTTTGCATTTTTGAAGTTATGTACTAAAAATGTACACAGCTTTTATTTACCTTTCAGAAAAAGCTGGAGCAAATTTTTGTTATAAGTTGCGTTCCAGATGCTTCACGATATTCACGATTTGCAGGAACAGCAGTTTTCTCCATTAATAAACCTTATGGAAGGTGGTCACCTGGAACTGCTACCTGCAAATCGTGAAGCATCTGGAACGCAACTATAATTTGTAAAAAAAAACCCTAAGGTAAGGTCGCCCTTGCCCTTATGATTATCATGTGCTAAGAAATAGTTTTTCGCATTTTCTGACAAACGTATTATTTTGAGTTGTGACTCTTTTGAGGACGGTGTGCGATATATGTATGTATACCGCTACCCTGCCAGCATTTTCTATTGCGGAAGTTACTAATTCTATACGACATTTCTGTGGAAATCATCGCCGATGATATCGCTACTTTATCGAATTCTTAACCGCTCTCGGGAAGAACTGTTGCACCAAGGCGTCACTTCTTTACGAAACGAAAGCGATACAGCAATTACGAACTATTTCGATAGGAATAACAGTAACTTGTGTGATTAAGTTTGAAGTGTTAAAGAAGATTTGATAAAACGTAATGAGAAATTTGGGATACATTTGAAAACGAATTCGAAAACCTGATAGTAAAAAGGCAATCAAATAACGCCTCTGTTAAAATTAAAAAGATATGATTATTTGTTATTCAAATATGATCATGGTGAAACTATAAATAATAATTATACTATAAATAATAATAATAACAATAATGATATAATTTCCCCATGGAATAAGATTGCGTGCGCGCAAAATGTATTTAACACACCTTGCTTGCACGTTAATTGAAAAATCAAGAAGGATTGAGAAAATAAAAATATGCATAATTTTACTTGAATGAACTTCCAATATTTGCTTTGTTAATTTTCAAAACTAGAAAAGAGTACAAATCGTCCGGGCATCTTTAAGAAGATAGAAAAGCGGCAGAAATGTTTTTTTTTTATTAAGTGAAATGAATAACTATCGCTTTGATAAGTTGCAATAGTGACGAAGAAGTGACATCGTGGCGATAGGCAATAAAATTCTCTTCCCAATTTGCTGGCAGGGTATATATACACGAATTTGTTTCTTTGCACATACCTGACTGCAGGAGCTAAGTATAAATTTGTGCGCTGAAATTCCCACGGTAGGTATGCCATTCTCCGAACTATTTCCACTGACACAATTGCTGCTGGAGCTATATAACACTACATCGGCAAACTTTTCATTCCTAAAATCAAACAAAATACGCATTATAAATCCATATGCATTCGTTAGGAGCCTTCAAAAAAATGGCACTTACTTGTAAAGCGTGGCCACTGACGAATTCAAGTATGACAAATGGGAGTCCCATTTTAAGTGATAGTTTTCTGCCGCCATGGTCTTGCAATACAAATAGAGACTTCCTTCCGTTGGATTGTTTTTGCCGTTTTTGTTGCAGTGATGCTTTGACTCACAGGCTTTGCACAAATGATGGATTTTACTGCAGCATGATGAAACATTTAAAATCCTCAATGCTTTATGGGTATGCTTTCAGTATGGAAGCCGTAGCAGAGCATGGAACTAACTTAAAATGGGGAAAATATGTATTATGTCGTCCGCTTTAATCCTTCGTAAAGAACCCCGTATTGTGAAAAGCTACAAAGCCAACTAAAAAGAAGCAAATCGATAAATCAATAATTCGTCTGCATTTTGGGCAACGACCAAGCAACACCCGCGCACGTACATACATACATATATATTTGTGTGTACGTATGTATGTATGTTTATGTGTGCATATGTACATACATTTAAATGGTCAAATGGGTTAACCCAGCCAGCAGAGAAACGTACTTTTTGCCGACTGCAGTTTTCGTACATTTTTCGTATCCGGAAACGTTCAGAAAACGATTTCCTTTTTTCGAATCGTAACATCCGTTCACGTATCGAAAACGATTCGAAAGAAAATTACGTGATACGTCAGGCAGTATAAGCTGAATGGGACAAAGAGTACGTTCACGTATGTCATAATCCGAAAAATGTGTTTTTACGTGACGAGTGGTACGATATCGTATGTGGCGATTCGAGCCCAGGTTTTTATACGAAATTGTTTCCATTTTCGAATACGTTTCCGGATATTTTGCTTTCTGGGTTTACTTTGTTTTAGTTGGGTTAAGAAAAGTAAAGGGAAGTAGCGGAATTAAATGTGTCTTATATGTAAATATGTATGTAATTGCGCGTTAGCATACACATGTGTCCGCCCGCCCAGATGTTAAATGGCTATTGGAATATGACTTGATTAACTACCCTTTTAATTAGCGGAGATAAAAGCTATATGTAAAGTCACCCTTTAAATTAAATTTTCACATCCACTATAAAATCAGCACTTCACCGGAAACACTAACAAATTCTTTATGCCTCAAATGCCAAGGTGAAAAATAAAGTTTTTTTTTTCATAATGTTCCAGAAACGAAGGGAATTAGCCTTTTAAAAAATTGTTTCCTTCCTTGCCGTGTAGGCTATAACGTAATTCACTTCCGCTTTTCGATGATAGCCGTTAGGGACCAAAAATGCACTACCGGGACAGGGTTACCATTGCAAACTTTCCAAGAGCTAGTTCAAAAATGTACCAAAATGTCTTCTTTACTACCATTTAAGAAAACGGCGTTTGAGGCAGTGGTTTCTACACTTAAAATAAGATTTCCAGGTAATCGCCTTCGGAGTAAATTACGTGAAAAATCGCGCTCTGCGGGTTTGCCATTAATTTCTTCGAGTTGCGATTAAAAACTTTGAGATCATCTGACTTACTGTAAATTTGTATGATTAACAATAAGTTTTTTTTTAATTAATTAATTAATTAACCTTGTCATTGTTGAAAGTATTATCGATTCGAAGAAAAATATCTGATTTTTGAACCTGTCTTAACGTCCAACAATTCAATCACTTGATATCCCTTTAGACACGAAGTTCAGAGAATCGCCGAAGGTAATTGATGAAATTCTATCTGCAACGAGTTTTTAAACTATTTGGCAAATAGTTGGACCCATCCAAAAAATATAATGAGGGTAAAACCGATATTGTCTGAATTTGGCAAGCCTACTCACAGTGCTGACAAATGACGCACTACTACAAACCAGAGATGCTTTCTGTTTTATCAACGAAGAAAACCTACCAATGTGGTAGGAAAAGCCAAACCGGCAGCCCTGTACCGGAATCGGTTAGAGACCAATTAATTTCCTTCATGTCAAAACCGTTCTCATCTCAGTGATGCCACCTAGTTCTGGCATGAAGGAAATTAATTCGTCCCTAACCGATTCCGTTAGTGCATTTTTGGTCCCTAACCGCAAAATCGCAAAAACATCAAAAAAGAGACAGTGAATTGTTGTTTGTGGTTATTATTTTTTGTTTCTGGTCTAAATCGCCATAAGTATAGTTCGCAGTGAAATTAAATATTATTTTATCATACATTTTGTTAATTATAGCTCAAGTTTTAATTAAATATACATGCGTATATGCATATAAATGTATGAAAGTAAAATGAATGACTTGGTTTTGGTTTTCGATTTGTCACAGCATACAACTTTTCTCGAAATCAAATCTTGGATACAGGAGCTACATCGTACCGTCCAGTTACCTATGGTACTTACACTTGGCTTATCTGGGCACACAACCAGCTAACTTGAACGGAACATAACATTTCCGATGTCAACTATTGTGTTATTTGTGGATGTTTATTTTACTTGAATGATAAAGAACTTAACAATCAATTGACCGGAAGCGACATGGCATCTAAAATGGATTTCGATGTAAAACTGATAGACATGGTGCGAGCAAATCCACTGCTTTATGAGAAGGAAGTTCGTAGCTCGCCGTATGATCTCATGAAAAGGAAAAATGAACTTTGGCGTAGTATAGCTTCCTCTCTAGAAGTTGAAAGTAAGTACATAGATCTACAAATTGTGCAAATTGTTTAATAAAAATGGTTATACTTAAGCCAAGTACTGTGTAATTCGATGGAAAAACCTTAGAGACAAATTTCGTCGCGAGCTGCAGAGATCAATAGAGATGGAGCGCAAAGCAGGCGGCGCCAAGAGCGCAAGGGGATCTACTTGGCATTTAATGGGAAAAATGAGTTTTCTTGAAAGCCATATTAGGCTACACAAGTAAGCACATATTGTTCAGGAATTTGCCAAGCAGTAATAAATGTATTCTTTAACAGCTCACACAGCACAAAAAGTCCAGCAAACAACTCACGTTTCACGTGGACTGAAATGGACGCAGAACAGCTTATTGAGCAAGTTATAAATGAAGATGATCCTTTGCAAGAAGCTATGGAAGAGCAAACCACCACTGTTGATACAAAAACCTCGGACAATGCAGTGAACACTCCAACACCTACAACTTCGTTTATGAAACGCATCGAAACTTTGCTCGAGGGTTTAGATGCTGCTAATCGCAACAAGGCTGAAAAGCGCATTGTAGCGTATCTTTGCAAATGCCAACTGAAATCGTTGGATAATGAGAATATTGATGATATTGTAATATAGATGTGTATATGTACGTAATTTATTTTATGGCATTTCCTTTTTGTACTCAGTATCTCAATTTATACATACAATCATGTATAAAACGAATAGTAGACATAATTTGTATGTTTAAGAAAAAATGATGTACACAAAATTTAAGTTTTAGTGAACATTAATATTACGTGTTTTTAGTAATAAGCTTCAAGAAATTATTATTTTATTATTGCCTCACTATATTGAATAAAAATATGAATACTAATTGCCAATTTTTTTCCCCATTTTGGTATTTATGTCCGCAGCTTGTGAACAGACGCTATACGGAGGCTTCTATCGCGTCGCATTCGTGCCCGTTCTTCTCTAACTTTAAGCTCAAGCATCATTATCGATTTTTTCGGATATGAATCACACTCGGATTTGTTATTTCCACCCTTCAAAGAATGCTGATTGCTTTGGAGCGGGGAAATTTATTAGCAAATAATCGCCTAGTCTGAACATCAGGCATATTTATGTATGTATGTATGTATGTATGGGTGAATACAAACTCCACCCCATTTATGCATTTTCCATACCTTATTTTCTTTTTAACTTCAATGTTTTGTTATTGAATTGTATGGGATGTAATTTATGGCATTTTAGTCACTTGTGCATACATATGCATATATAGGGGTTTTAAACACTGATAAATATAACTTTCAATTTCGAAACTTCACAATCGTCACAAGCGTCGTTTGTGCTCTAGTGGGAGAGCATATTCTTTATGTTTGGGCGCGCAATACTTTCCAACTTACATACCTATAACCCACTCATGCAAATGTATGTGCACTTAACCATGATAAAAACATAGCAAGGTAGAACCGTTCTCTCAATTTGTCGGCCATGATTTTTTTTTTGAAGTTTGCCAACATTTTAAAATCATATAAAAGTGAAAATAAAAAATTGAAATTGTTCGAAATTGTTGTTGCTTGAGATTGAAAATGAAAATGTGTGTGTGAGTTTGTGAGTAAATTTAAAAATTAAATTGTTTGGAAACGTCAAGAATTTTAAAAGTGACTCTCAGCGGTTCTACCTTACTATATTTTTATCATGCACTTAACTGCTTATTCCTTCAATCGTCATTGTTGTTATTTTACAAATGAAGTTACATATGTACATACATTAATGTGGTCGTTGGCTGTATTGATTGATTTGCCGTCCATAGAAATCAATATATGAAAATTTTAAAAGCTTTTTGACTATGTAGAAAAGCGTATACCGTTACCAAGAATGTTTGGTAAATCTTGCCATTTGTAAGACCTGCATTTATTTGTTTATAACTTTACACATTTTTCATAAAATTTGTTTACTTTGTAACCATTTTAAGCCCATATTTACTGAAATAAATATAGTTGCAGCATTTTTGCTTATTACAATCATTTACTCTACTTTATAAACATACTTTTATTTCGCAAAAACCCGCACTTTTAACGCTCTGCAATTGATTTTTAATAAGCAGTCAAGATTTCCCGTCGTTGCTGTGGCTTGTTTCGTACTGTAATCCGCGTAAAAATTATTGAAAGTCCTTGCGCCTATCGTCAATTCATTTGTCTGTATATGCGCACAACATCGTCTTTGTTGGTACGCAAGTATTGTGTTTAGCGCCCATTTCATGTGGCAAAATAAAGAGAGCTAAAGCGACTCAATTATTGCACTAAGTATGTGTATATGTAAATGTATTAAGTGAACTTTGCATTGCAACTTTACATTCCTTGGCTCCTACTGCCGCAGTGTAAACAAACTTATAATGCAGAAAACCTGAAATAGACTAGAAAGCCTTCTAAATCCGCCGGAGGAGTCAGGGTAGAACAAAAATAATACATAGGAGCGGCGGCGGTCTGAAGCGCATCTGCTTCTAGTGCTGTTTTTCTGATATTTTTGGTTTAGTATATTTTTACTGAGTAGTGTTTTTAGGCTAAAATTTGTTGTTGCTGGCCATCAACATTTTTAGTGAATGAATTCTTTTACCGTATTTACATATGTATGTATATTCAAATGTATATATAATACTTGAGATAAGAATTACGTATGTTACAGGGATTTGATTGAGATGTTAGGGGCTCTTCATCGTGCTTGTAAATATGTATGAATGTTTGTATGTACATATGTGCAAATACGTATGCATATTTATAGCTCACGTCTTTTATTCTAGTAAGATTGAAAATATTAACCCTGATAAAAAAGAAATAGCCGTATAAATTGTTAGATTTTTGCTTTTTATTTTTTATGATAACTATAAAAAAGATACATGCAATCGCTGATTTAAAATAGATGAATAATCATATGTGTTGCAATATGTTATTTATCATCCATCAGACTTGGATTTTTTTTCCTCGACCTCTTCAGATTTTTCGGACTCACACTTTCGCTTTTGGGAGGAATCCTGGTCACTCGCGTCACATAATATTTCTTCTTCGCCACCATCTTCATTTACCCTTGATTGTTCGCTGTTCTTATTTTTATTTTGTTCGTCTAGTTCTATTTTCATTTGATGTGCAGCAGAAGTGTCCGATTTCAGTAGCTCTCTCAGAAACATTGTAGCGTATGCAGATCGAGGCAAACAGAAATCTAACAGCAGAGCCTTAAAGTCGCCTACTTCACAATCCTCTTGAATGGGTTCATATCTACCAGTAACAACGTCCCAATCGGATACTATGAGTGATTCCTCTGCAGAGGAGTACTTTCGAAATTTCCATGTTAAACCTCTGGGATGGATCAACAGTTTTCGGTAAGCGCCAGCCAAGGCATATGTTTTCACACTGTGACGCAATGTCTCGGATGAGAGCCCGTACTCTTCTAGTATTTCTTCATACCAGGTTTTCACTTCATTGTCCGGGTAAGTGATATCATATCCAGGCAAAGGTAAAACAATATCAAAAATTGTGTAACCCCCACACTCAATTTCACCTGCGCTTAATGCCTTAACTTTTCTCTTAAACTTGGAACCCGCTGCTTCATCTGTAGCCGCTTCATTTTTCTCGTTACTATTTGGTATGGGGACATTCTCTTCCTTGGCCTCATTCCCCTCTTCATTTTCGACCATATCCTCTAATATAGTTTCTTCAACAATATCGTCATCCATTTCTTCTTTATTTCGATATACCAAATCACCTGGTATTAACTTCAATCCAAATTCTCGAATGCGGCGCGATGCAATGCGATTGAATACCAGACTTTGAAATGCATGCGTATAAAGAAGTAACATGTTGCGTGGTATCTGCTTTTTACACACAGATAAGTTAAAAATTAAATCTTTTCTACGCTTTATTTATAATTACAAACAACACCTTTCTTAATGCCGCCGAGTAATCATTTTCGCCATAAGTCGCTAGTCCAACTAGTAACTTTTTTTCGATAGAATCATTAGAATTTAAATTAGCGGCTGCTGCGGCTGAGTTACGTTCTTCCCACCACCTCCGTCTTATATTATCCATGAAAGGAAGGTCATGTTCTCGAGGTTTTAAAATCAGTTCAGCGACCTACATACACAAGATAAATCATAAATCAGAAGATAGGCGAACGAAGTATAAAGCCGCTATTATATTATACCGTTTTATAATCCGATTTTAAAAGTGCAACTCCAATTTCATATGTGGGTATATCAGGATGATTACCAAATCTCTGCAAACCGAAATAATTAATAAATCCGTTTTCCCGCAGGCCTTCCAGAGCCTTCTCGATTTCCTTTTCATCTCCATTGACATGGCGCAGGGCTATTCTAAATCGATTTCCCTGTAAGTCACCCAACTTGACCACTTCGTTACTGAACTCAAAATTGCCGACTTTAATTTTGGACACTTTAGCAGCGGTCAAAATTTGCGAAGGCTCGCGACGTTTTATGCAAAACTTCTGCGTTGTCTTGGCGCGCTTATCTTTGGTGCCACAATAATTAACATGAGACGGATGCATACTAAGGCGTTGTACACACATTTTTATATAGATATAAGTATATACATACATATATGTTCAAAGGCATATATAGATACGACTTACCTCAAACGTGATGCTAATCTTGAAGCCGCCTCGGTTGTTTCCATATTTTCCTTGTATACCAAAAAGTGTACATATTCGCCTGGAAATGTCCACCGTTTGCGCTTCTCACCTAAGATTTGCATTATTTATTTAGCGTAAAGAAATATTTATTTATTTGACATATGTATGTAAGCAATCATGATTTTCCCCTACTTGGTTTTCCTTTGGGCTTCATTATTCTTACAAAACGCTCGTCTGTGGAATCCGTGGGGCTAATTGTTGAACTCACTAGTTTTTGTCCATATAACTGCTTTAATATGTTATGTACCTGCGTTCGTTTTTCTTTATCCAAAGACGATACATTGATATCTATGGGCTGAGCTGCTGGATTGTTCGCTTTCATTGCTGCTAATACGCCAATCTTTTCCCACACCTCTGTTGTTATAACTTCTTTGAACCTCTCACGCGCAGCAGCTAATTCAGTTTCATCAAGGGCTGCGGGAATAAAATCGGGGTTTATTTCATATTGGCCCAAATCGACAGAAACTTACTTTCCACCAGCGCTTGGGGTGTCGTTAAGTCGGTGATTTGCAAAACCTTTCCGTTTGCATCGATTTCATTTACTTGAAAATCTGAGAATCGCGATTTCACAACCCCGGTGAATCCTGCTATTTTGTTCACATACTCAGTTATTCCCGCTTGATCCTCACGCAAACTTTGCCAGCCGGCACCACCGACTCTGTAATCAACATGTGAATAGTTAGAAAACCGAAACGACAAAAAACCTAAGGGACTTACTCGATCCTCCTATTGCCATAGTCAATATTTTTATTCGAGTTTGATGATGGAGTACCACGCTGTTGTGGACGCCATCGTTGTCTTTTAAAAGGCGTTCGATTTTTTCCCATAGCTAGTGAATAATATCACAATTTTAAAAAAAAATTAGCTCGTGCTGGACTAGCCTGGCCAGCGTTGCCACTAAAACCTTTTTCCCCTACCAGTTTTCTTTCCTCATCCTACCAAAATCGTTTACAACCTACCAAATAAATTTCAATTACAAAAAAGCATTCTGAAAGCATACAATTCATTTTTTTTAAGATTAAATCGTCCCCTCAATATAACAATAGCGTATGTGCTCATACGCCATTATTTTTTTATTGCATATTTAGAATCTCCATCACTGATTCTATGTCTGGTCAAAATTTCGTCAAGTTCTACTTCCACAAAGTGGGTCAAAATATCATTGGAAAAAATGGTGTATAATTTCTTGTTCAAAAATTTCCTTCAAACAAAAAATTTATATCTGGCCAAGGACTGTCACTCCAGCAACACACCCCAAGAAGTCTTTGGGGAATTTGTATGCTGCTAAAACAACAACAACAACAACAACAGGTAAATTTGGTAAATTTTCTTCAGAAACTACCTTAGCTGGTGTTATTATTTGTAAAAGTTGTATATCTTATATCTCCGCCCAAGTCTCTAGCCATAATATTGGCTCCATCAGTGGTCAAACCAATTAGGTTTCTTATTTTTAAAGACAGGATTGGCAAATGTTTAAAATTTACAATTGACAAATATTTGGTGTTTTAAATATATATTTTAATAATAAAGAATTTAATAACTTAATTCAACTATCCGACCAAAATCTTACTTTGCCTACCAACCTAGCAAGTGAAAAAGAAGCGACCAAATTTGGTCGGAAAAGGGTGAGGTGGCAACACTCAGTCTGGGATACATTTTTCTGTTATCGATTTTTTATGTGATTCCGCAGTATCGATATAATAGGTCTCTTCGTTGAGTGTTAATAATCGTTTTATGTAAACATCGACTTTGAAAACAATTTACGTTCATGTCAGTTAAATGTGCTTTATATGCATATACAAATAAATATATTACACAAAAACGTAAAGTGCTATTTCATTCGTGAGCTACACTTTTTCAAGTAAATTTGCAACACGGTGCCACTGCTAAACGAGCGGTGCGAGAGAGACAACTGTCAGTTTATCTAATACGATGTTTCCACGTTTCGTAATTCGCTCTCTTATTCGTAATTCGCTCTCCAATTCGTCATTCGTCTTGCCAATTACCTTCCGAAATACGTAATTCACCATACAAAATTTTGATAGCGAATTACCTCATTTGTAGGTAATTCAGATCGAATTACCATGCGAATGACGAACGAATCGGTGCCTTCTCTAATATTTATCGGAAATATATCGATGTTTTACCGGCCTGGTCCCATTTGCTGTCACTATATATATTAAAATTATTGATGAAAACTTAAATTTTAGCTCCATATTCGATATTTGCAGTTCACAAAAATAATAATAAACAGCGAAGAACAAGAACAAGAACTACAGGTGTCAAACGAATTACTAATGTTTGGCGTGGAAACAGGGTAATTCACGAATTATTTAGCGAATTACTTAGAGAGCGAATTACGAAGCGTGGGAACATCGTACTACCTTTAATTATTGAATCATTGTAGGATATCATGAACCTAAAATACAAGATAACCTAATCAAAGAAGCAAGAAAAAAGTATATTTCTGAGCGCTTTTGACATCTGCCTGAAAAAATTTGTATGCAAAATCGCCTCATGTAGATAACCAGTAAATTTGATTTTACCAACAGCATCGACGTCAAAACTTCGTTCATCAATGCACGATATATCGATGTTTTTGGGGTCAATGTTAAAATATCGATGTTTCCAAACATCGATGTCGAAATTGCATCCTTAATAGCAGGCGATTTTTGTTTTGTTTGGGATTAAATTTTGTTATTTTGCATTTTGGCGCAACGAATGAACTGAAGGATGGTCTATATACATTTTCCATCAAATTTAACAGAAGAGGAGCACATGCTTCAAGCAAAATATCAGAAGTTGAAGAAAAAGGTAAGATATTTTTCACAGATGCATACTTAAGTACATTCATATGAACATACCTTGTTCTTTGCTCCCCCCGCCCTGCCAGAAAAAAGCACTGCAGGCCTTGAAAGCACCTAAACCCGAGCCGGAGAAACCTCTCACATTAAAGCGACCCACTGATGCACGTGATGCTCGTGAAGTTGCCCGAAAATTAATTAAAAGTGGCGCCATTCCTGCTATTCAAAAGCAACAAACAAAACAGGATCAGACATCGTTTAAGCGCCCAAAAGGCCAGGAACGAGCGAAACGAGCTCCAGAAGCAAGTGTCGCAGCCTATCAACCATTTTCTTCAACACAAAATGATGTCGCACAGGAGACTATCATTAGCGAAATAATAAAAGAAGAGCCCCGAATACAAAATCTTTATCAGCACTTTGCCACAGAACGCGATCGCGAAGAGCGCGGTCTGAATGATAAAAGTTCTTTGGACTCAACGCAGCCCGAGAAACCCCGCGCAGGTAATACTATTTTCGTGTCAGGAAACAAGGTAACAGAGGAGTTCTTGAAAAAAACTTTCAACGATTATGGTACCATTGTTAATGTGTCCATGGAAGTCGAGAAATGGTAAGAGCCGATAAAAAATATTTTTGGATCGAATCTAACTTAATTAATTTACCAACAGTCGTGGATTCGTGTCCTTTGCTAAACCAGAATCCGCAGACCGTGCCATCGCAGAAATGCATGGAAAGAATGTGAACGGCATCAATTTGCAGGTACAGCTGGCTCGTCGCCAGCCACAAATTGAGCCTATTAATGATGCTACGTCATCGGCAGCATGGTCTTCTATAGGTAATTAATATACATACATATCTGACAGGGACATTAAAAGGGGTCTACGGTTCGAAAATAATTTATTCACAACGACTTGGATGTTAACAAGTGTATTTTATTAGTACGTTTTTTTGTCAATGTGCCCATCTTTGGAGGCAATTTATGAAAAAGCGAATACAGCTAGAAAGAAAATATTATAAATAAAAATAGATTTTTCGACACGTAGAACCTTTTAATTTTCCCTGTCACATATACCTTTAAAGTAGTTTGATATCGCAGTAGCAACGCTTACTGAATGCAGAATTCAAATATTAAGATTTGATTGCGTTTTCTTTTACAGCGGCAAACAAGTCCCAGAAGGGCAGCCACAAGGATCGACGTGAGATGGTTCAATATGATGACGACTTTTTACAATAAACCGTTTTAACGCAATTCTTTTTCGGCAATAAAATCATTATGAAAACTCAGAACCAAGCAATATATTAAACGACAAGGTATGAAGGAGGCATACTTAATGTAGAAAGGTCCTATCTCATTTTCTTTTCAAATTTAGCATTGTACAAAAAGTCTGCCAATTATTCACTAAAAACATATTGAAATTTAAAAATCACTGATGCAGCATAAAATTTGTTTTGTGTAAAAATAGCGTTTACAAAGAACTTGATTTTCTATCGAGTTTTTTCATCACTCCGTAAAGAAACAAAACTGTTAGATAGTACCTTTCTATATTGAGTTAACAATTGTAATCATTACTATGTACCGAAACGACTTGGGTCTTACCAGACTAAGACGATGTTTAGATCGGGAAATCGAACCAATCGTTGTATGTTCTTGAAGAAAGTATACGGCTATTTCTTCTATCTGGCTTTACCCTAATCACCCCTTTACATGCCCGCTCTATGCTCTTTGTCCGACCCTGTAGAAACAGCACGTTTCTTGGACCTATCGCTAGTTGAGCTTGACGAAAACTATTGAAAAATAAGCTGATCTAGGCAGGAGTAAGTAGACGCTCCAACAAGAATAAAATCACAGAAATATAAGCTGTTTTTGAACATTGCTTTATTGAAAAATTTACACCCACATTATTTTATGTGAGTTTTTGAATTTGATTATTTTAAATAATAAATATAGTATATTAGATAACAATGCAAAATTTATGGGTCATCAGATAAATACATTACGTACTTCGATATCCGATTACTTCAGAAAAATAATAATAGTAAAGCAAACTAGAAAGAATAATGAAAATGATTCTTGGTTTGGCGTCAAAGCGAACTTTTTTCTGTTGGTTATTTGTGCCGCTGAACATGAGTATGTCATATATGTATGTATGTATATTAACATGATTTTGAATCTTATGTTCATTATGAAAATTCCTTTGCAAAAATATATGTATGTATGTATGTATATCCTATCCGTATTAATATTTTTATATGCAATACATATACAATATTTGTTAATTAAAGTTTGCTAGGCTGCGTTCAGAAATGCATCAATCCAAAGCATCAGTCTCTTTTATTTCTAAACTATAATTGATGGAAATGTCAAATAAGCACAACCACTGTTAAAAACCTAATTGGAACTTAGTTGCGTAAATAAGATATTTCCATCCATTATAGTTTAGAAATAAATGATACAGATGCTTTGGCTTGATGCATTTCTGAACGCACCCCTAGTTTCAGAAAACGCCCACGGCATTGTAAATGGTTCGTCATTATTAACATGATACAAGTAGATATTTGTTAATTTTATTCTACAAACTCCTTCGTTAAATTTTCGTACAAAATAATTACATACTTTGAATATTTATGTATTTCTTCGTTGCTTTCTTCCGAAACTGAAATACCCAGCTGCTATTTTCTATCGCAATCGGCACAAAGTCGATCTCAGCGCAGCGGCATTAACATAAGTTTGAGCGCTCGACCACGATGCTTCAAAACATTTCCTAATTATAATCAATTTCCCGCAAAACATCAAATACAAATAACTCTCTATCACTGGCTTCGCGTGGTCATTCGACCCATTCGACGTCTGGAAAAAAGGAACTAAAAATATTTGAGCTATGCAATTCTACGATTGTCGTGGCCCACTCCCTGGAGGGTTGAAAAAGTCCCAGTGGTGGGTGTGCACATTTCTGCCCGACAGCATGTACACGATCAGTGTAAAAGATATGACAACAAAAAGGGCCACCAGTGTGGGGATATGGTGAACCTGCGCTTGCACATTTTTGTCCGGATCGCCGCCTCGAATCGCGGCCGTCAGACGGTTTATCATTTGCACAATCGACAAGCTGCAAGCGGACACAAATTGTTTGCCTGCTTTTGCCACGGTTTGTGGCTCAACAGGTGGACGTGTGCTGCTGCGCGAACGCCGGCTGTGCGAGCGAGAGCGCGTTTCCTCTCGCTCAGCCAATTCGTCGTCGTCTTCGCATTCCGAACAGGATGAGTCGCATCTGCGATGATGGCGATGATGGTGGTGATGTCTCCGGTGTTGAGCGACTTCATTGCCATCGGCACTGCTGCCGTATGGCTGCTCGTCGCCCCGACGCAGGTTATAGAAACCTATTGGCGGCAATGATTGTAGATACTCGGTCGTGGTATATACTGGCGGTGGTGGTGGTGGGATGTTCGCATTAGCTGAGAATGATACTGGGTCAGTTTGTGTTTCTTCGTCGTAGTTTCTGAGTTGCTGTAAGACGATTTCTTCGGAAGTATCGACCGTTTGCTTCGCTGCTCCCAAGTCGCGCTGTCGTGGTGGTTTTGGTGGCGGCACTATTTCCCTTAGCGGAGATCTGCCTTCCGTAGCCAATGCTTCGCTACTTGCTTGCAAACTGGTCTGTGTTTCAGCGGTTAGCAAATGCTGACGGTCGGTGGTGCGCACGCGCTCTACAATATCTTCAATGAAGCCTTCCGGCAAAGCGATGTTCTTCACAATTAAATTTCCCGATTTGCATTCGAGTTCTTCGGCCGATATTTGCGTGCCATGGAGCTGTGAAACCATAATTTGGCCAGCTTGAAGTGCATGTACACGTAAACGCTCGACTTCAAGATCCCCTATGTGCGCAGGTAGTTCAGGTTGCATTGGAATCGGGACGGCAGCTGTTGACGAAGGCACAGGAGTCAATTCCTTCGATAGCTCTTCCACTAAAGTAAGTGCCGGCGGGATGTCAAGTGTTGTTGACTTGCGGCGAGGTGGTGGCAAGGGTGGCTCTTCAACAATTTCTTCTTCTCGTGTGTGATCCATTCGAACTGCTTCAAGCGCCTCATCTCTAGGGCTTTGGAGGTCTTCCCCAATCTCTTGAGATTCGTTCTTTTGTTCTTCAGTACTTTCTTCTACCCTGAGTTCGTCTCTGATCTCGCTTTTTTGTTCATCTTCAGACGCAGATGGTGGCGCTACTGAGATTTCGTCTCGGATCTCGCGTCTTTGATCGTCTTCAGACGTACTTAGCGTTGCTTCTATTTCCTCAGTTTCAGATAGGTATTCGTTTCTGACACTTTTCTCTTCCTTATTATCTTTCTCAGACGTTTCCTCTCCCAGGTAATTGGTGGTGTAGTCATAAGCGGGTATATCTATGTCTGACATCTTTTCATCGTAATCAAAATCGTTTAGCTCGCCCTCCACACTTTCTCCTTTATCTTCTCCATAGTTGCTGCTGCCACCTTGAGCGCGTAGCTCATCAAGTGCAGCATTTAGCTCTTCAGAGCTTGGGCCTCTAGAATAGTCGCTAACGGCCAGTTTCGACTCTTCTTCGTCATGCGACGTTGCCTCCACATCGGACTTGCTTTGCTGCGAGCTATCCGTGAGCAGACCTTCCCTCCGTAATGCTTCTTCCTCCAAATCTAGATCATCAATTGGTCGTACAATCAACGATGCCTCCAGCATCGATTCACTCTGTTGGCTGGGTATCGGCGTCGAAACGCGTCTTTCGATAACAACGGCAGAGGGGGTTTGTGGCCGACTTTGAGATTTGGAGTGGTCCGCCTGCGAAGAGGCGCGCGATCGCTCTGAAATGCTTCGTTGGTTGGCATCGCGGAATCTTTGCAGTCCCCGTGCTAATTGCTCTTCTTCAGTGAGCTGAGGTTGCGCCTCTTCAGATTCTTTGGCTTTCAACTCCTCTTCCCTTAATAGCTCATCCAAAGTTTTTCTCATACTATTTATACGCGGCTCGATTATTCTCATATCTTCGGTGATTTCGAATTCCTCACATTCGAAATCGTCCGGCAAGGGGTCGGTCTGAGTTGAAACCTCAACCTCAGGTAGGCGTGTTTCCTCCTCCTCCAAATCGACGTCGGTCGGATCGTAACTTTCCGCCGTGGAAGATGTGGCAATTTGTTCGTCAGCAATCTCGCGATTGTATAGCGCGTTGAAAGCGCTATGCGCTGAACTCTTCGATTCGGCTCGTTGACGTTTTTCGCGGGGTGGGCGTGGTGGAGGTGGCAGCGGTCTGAATTTCATTTTATTTATAATCTCGCCAGATTGTAAGTCTCGTGGAGATTCAGGGCGTTCCTGCTGCAACGCTTCCGGCTCTTCATAATCATCGTCCAGTCTAAAGGAAGTGGTGAAGCGGTCGATGAAAGGAAAAGGAAAACCAGAATTGGAGGCAAATAAAATATATATAAAATTTTAATGGAAAAGTGGATGCAGTTGCCACAGGGCCAAGCACCAAACCAACAACAACAACAACAACAACAACAACAACAACAACAACAACAAAAGAAGATGCTTCAACAAAAAAAACTTTAACGAAAACCAAAAACAACAAGCGAAACAAACAAAACTCTTAAATGTGTTGATTGGTTTTATTTTTCTTTTTTATTATTTAGATGTGGTTTGTACATTTGCATGTACATACATACCGACATATGTTTAAGTATGCGTGTACGTATGTATTTAGTTATACTACATTAATGTTTGTTACGAGTATTACAACAATATTGCGCTAAATAATAACGGAACTAATATTCACTGAAACAATTTTGGGTTAGCGAAATAGTGTATGTATGTATGTATGTATATTGGGGTGCATCACACTCCATACCACCAAAAAAAAAAAAAAAATCGGTAATGTTTTTCCATCGGAATTGTGAAATCTATTAAATATATGTATATTGCCACTTCCGCCAAAATATTGAAGATTTACGTGAGCTGCAACGATTTGACATGGTATTCATCAAAGCGCGTAAATGCCTCGTAACTGCGTAAACCTCGTTAATAAACTGGTTTTCCATACAAAATGAGGTAAGTTTACAAGGTTTACTTGGTTAAGAAGCATTTACGAGTTTAGATGAATTGCCCTTGAAAATAACTCCAAAAATATAGTTTTTTTACCTCCCTTTTATTAGGTCGGGATGTAACTATGTAATATTGATGCGCCTAAAAGATGCCGCGATTTATATGCTCAAGTTACATACCTGATGGCGGTACGAATGGAAATAATAATAGCCAGGTTTTAGTTTTTTAAACTATATTTATAAATAAGATTAGTTTTTAAAAATGTTTTTTTTTTTCAAAAAATCACTTCAAATGATAAAATACTTCAGCTTTGAAGGCGTGTATAAAACTATTTAAAAATTTTATCAACGGAAACAAAATAATGAGATTTTTGGAGGTATTTTAAAATTAGTCCAGCTCACGTATGTAAATCTTAATATTTTTCAGAAATATTTTGACGATATTTTCTCAATGTAATAAACTTTACAATTCCTGTGGAATACCTGAAACTTTTTTTTTGAGGCACCCTAATGCATATATGTATGTACTATGTAAATATTTTGAATTAAAACAAAAATGTGCATTAAGGTCGTACATACAAATTACTGACGATCAGTTTACGCATCGGCAGCTCTTCAGTGAGCCGAAGAACGGTAAAAAAACGCAGCTGCGAGCAGAGCTCATGAATTTGAAAAAATAAATAAATTTACCTACCTAAAAGAACGCGTGTTCATACATACAAGTATATCGTTATCTTAATATAGAAAGGCCCTATCTCATATCGTCCCTGAAATATAAAAAGGCGTAACTAACTAAAAATCCAAAATTCACTTTATGATTTCATCGAATTATAAGTCCCCTTATCGTTTTACGCAATACAAAATTGTAGTTAGTTACAGCTTGTTTGCATTTTAGCGATGATGCGAGATAGGGCCTTTCTATTTTAAGGTGACGATATGTATGTATGTATGTACATTAGGACGGGTTAATTTGCATGGGAGTTTTTTTTTGACTATGCGCGTTTAGCACAGAAGGATTCTGCGTGTAATTCTAAGCAAATTTGCCAAAGAAACCTTGTGTCTAAAATCAATTTGGAGTTTGCCAAATTGCGAAAATAGGTTTCTAAGCATTTTGCTATAGTATCGTAAAGAAGTGCTTAACATTTGCATAAATACATGTTTTAAGGTTTTGTTTTTTGTATGGAGAATCCATTTCTGCACTTCCACCAGACGGCGCAACAGTGCAAATTTTCTTATTTTCCTCGAAACCTATTTTCGCAATTTGGCAAACTCCAAATTGATTTTAGACCAATGGTTTCTTCGGCAAATTTGCTTCGAATTACACGTGCTAAACGCCCATAGTCATAAAAATCTTACCCGCCCTAATGTACATACATACATACGTAGGGAGATTTATGACAATATTTACTAAAATCTATTATTCGCGAATACGAATAAGAATAGCAAGTCACGTGATAGATAAAAACTTGCCGAAAAGAAATTTCGATAGCTGCACTATTATTTGGTGAATATCCTGTAATCTAAATAGCCATAGCTTTCTTTCCTTACTTACTGTCTCCATTGGCAATTTTTCATCTGCTGCTATAGATCTCCGGCGATTAAGCGCTTGTGAAGATCGCTTAGCTCAATCGCAGGCGATAAATAGCAGGGGATATCAGCAGATCTTCTCCTAAGCGGCTAAGGTCATATATTTTTTTTTAAGTACTTGCAGTAGAGACTCAATATTCAGTGAAAAGCTACTCAAGCCTCAGTGATACAAGTATTAAAGCTTGCTCCCGCTACTGCTTTGGCAAAGATACATACCTACATTAGGGCGGGTTGATATTTTTTTTTTTTAAATCGTATAGCAAAAACGTAAACTACATAAAATTATCCGAAGAAACCATGTATCTAAAATAAAATCCTAATCCGCGCCTCTCGACTTCAAAATTTATATGGCCGCCTTTGCCAAAAAAAAAATAAATGTTAGAAAACAAAGATTTTTCCAAAAAGAAATCGAATTTTCTGAATAAAATTGTTTAGTAAGGTAGTTCTTTTGCACTTTATGTTTTTTCTACACTCAAATTTTTTTTCATTAAAAAAAATATTTACCCAACTAAAAAAGTTTGTATATAATTTTATATTTAATATTTTTATAAGGAACATAGATAAAAAAAAACTATTTTTTTTTTAATTATTCTTTGTTTTATGCAAAACGCAGTTTAGGTGAAACGTGTTATAACTATTTTTTTATATAGAACGCAAATCAGAGGAGATGCAAATTGGGGTTCAACAGCTTTTTTGATAATTGAATATTTTGATTAGTCTCAAAACAAAACCTGTATTGCATAAACTATAATATAATATAATAAAACATAATATATTTCAAAAAAAGAAAATAATTTTAGCGTAGATTAGGGTTTGATTTTAGACCCATGGTTTCTTCAGAGAATTTTCTTAGAATTTAATGTAGATTACGTTTTGGCTAAACGATTCTTAATTATTATTTTTTTTTTCATCCATACAAATCAACCCGCCCTAACCTACATACATATGTATAATAAAAAAAAACTGCTTGTAGTAAATGTACTCAGAAATTAACAAATGGTTCTCGGCTCAAATGGGTGAAAAATTTTAGAGTTTTGACTGATCTAAGCAATTTAATGAAGATCTAATTTTTACTAGCAGTTGCTATCTTTCTCTATACTGTAAATTATTTGATTTGTGTTTCGATGTAGCAGTTAGTACATAATTACATACATAGAAACAAACAAGCATGGATACATACATATACGATTAATAAATTGCCAGAAGATAATTTACGTAGGCCTTCTTAAGTGCAGCCATTCTAAAATCCATACCCAAAAAGGGCTGCAAAGAGTGCTCTTCTGCATGCCTTCTATGTAGAAGGGCGTATACATTTGGAATTTACGCGAGCTCCTGAAATTATCTACTGGGTTATGTCCCGTGGCGCTTTTCAACTTCCGACGCATGCATGCGAATAGGTACATACATGTTCGTACATGCTGTATATACTCGTATGTATACATATCCATACATACATATTTTACATAATAAATGGCTTAAATAAATAAAAATAAATTTGTGTCAACAATAACAAAACAACAAAACAAAACAAGTGGATATTTAGTTAATTAAGCATAAAAGAAGAATGAGGTGCACTCAGTGATCTAAAATTAGCCACTACAGCAGATGAAACATTTTATAAAACTCAACTTTAAGTTAGAAAACTAAAACAAAACAAAAAATAGCAAAAAAAATGCATTCAAATGTGCGCCACAACTAAGTAAATAAAAGCTGCAGCGGTTTGTTTTTCTTTTTCGTTCTTACATTTGGGACGCTGCCGCTATATCTACACTAGCAGTTGATCTTCGACGTGGCGGCACTGGTTCCTCCTCCATTGTGGACGGCGTGTATGCGCGTGGTGGGGGCGGCCGCTCGGGTGGCGGCGGTGTGCCGCTCTTGCCAGCTCCAGCACTGGGTATGGTGGTGAAGCGCTCCCCGGGTGACCTTGAGAACTTCTTCCTGCGAGCTGGTGGCGTTGGCTTTGGCAAGTGTTCCTTCCGTACGATTGCGTAGCTATCGAAAAAATATTCACGAAAGCAATGGTAAACTTAAAAATCATGGGAGCCGCTACGTCCCTCTATGCTACTCACCCATCATTCTCCATCATATCGATAATGTACTTGTCCTTTCCATCGCTCGACCGTTGGTCTGCTTGGGATTCGCCTTGTTCATCAAATCCCAATGACTCGGCTCCCCGGGAAGTCCGATCGTCTTCGTCATACCTAGAAATTGGTCTGGATTTTCGATCCTCCAACGTTGATGCGAGTTTTTCAGGCGAAGTAAGGGAAATAGGATATTCGTGCTCAGTGCGATAAACTATTACCTATGTACATAAATTGGTTGAACAAACAAATGAGATACCAGAGGAACTGTTAAAATACTTTGTCGATATGGGTGTACTTACATCTTCGGTTGGCTGTAAACGGCTATTAGAAACCGATCGACCACCGAAACCATTTATGTACGAATCCTTGTCCATCGAGTTGTCACGTGTATCACGCTTTCGGCGCCGTGGAGCTAGTGGTGCCGGCGCTCCTTCGTTGACACCCTTCGGTTCCCCTGGGAAGACTTGTTTGCCGACTATGTTCAAGTCGTTCATTTCTGCCTCCTCATTGTCTTTGTAGCTGTTGCGTGGAGGACGCAGATACTCCTCGTCATCATCGAAATAAGGTTCATGACGTAAGTTCTCGGCAACGGGAAAGTCTTGGCTGTCCATTGAGTATTTGCTGCGACTGCGTCCCTTTCGCAATGGTCGCTTGGGTGCACTATAGAAATCACTGCCGTTTTGAGACAGTGACAATTCGTCGCCGTATTCGCTGCGTTGGGACTCGAGATCTTGAGATATGTCCTGTGGTCCGTAACTTTTGTGCAGGCGCTTCGGTTTCGGTGGTGGAATATCGTAATCCCTATACTCCATTCGCTCACTGTGTTGTCCTACATGATCTAAGGTGTTTATTGGTCTGTCGTAGCCCTCACGTATCGCATTACTTATGTACTGCCGCAGTTCGATGTTATCTTCGGAGACGCCTCGCTTGCGTAGGAAAAATTCGTCGTCGTCGATTTCCTCCATTACGACCTTTTTGCCGGAGCTAGAAGTTGACTGGGTTTCCTGTGGCAATCCGTCTTCAAGCGGATATTTCAGATAGCTCGCTTCTGCCTCCAACTCAGCTTTGCGAAGCAGTTTATTCTTTTCAATTTCCTTCTCTGTCCACCCCTCTACTTCTTTACTGTCTTCAGACCGCAAATCGGAATCTTGATGGACTATGGGGCGCCTTCTGAATTCGCCGGCACGCATCTTGGATATTTCATGAATTGCGCGGTTTTCCTCATCAAATTCAGCGAACTGCTTTGTATCAGCAACTCCGCCCATTATTCCCAACTCCTGCTGTTCGCTCTCAGTTTCCTCCAAATCGTCCTTCATTCGCCGTTCCAGTGATGATTCTCGGTCGAAGCTTTCTTGCTCACTACCGTACCGACGGTAGCGGGAGCCCTCGCTGTCATTATAGCTAACATCTGAAAATTTGTCTGCCCAACGCGAGCGCACAGGCCCCGGACCTCGATCACCTTGCGGCGAGCTGGAGGATTCCAGCGATGGTTGTGTTTCAGTGCTCGGAATGACGCTGACCCCTTCGGTGGCAGTTTCAGTTCCCAGTGATGCTTGCGACTCTACAGGCTTCTTCTTGCGGAACGCTCTTGGATATGTGCCGAAATTGAAATCGAACATTCGTTTCTGCGGCTGCGGCTGCGCAGCATTCCCAGCGTCTGCCTCCATCTCTTCATCTTGGCCTTCGTTTTCCTTAAAAGACTTACTTCTTCTAAGCTTAAGGGTCGAAAATTTGTCGGGTAGTTTAAATTTCGACATGTCTGGTTTGTTGAACTTCGTGAATTCGGGACGTTTGAAGTCTTTAAGTTTCGACATATCGGGACGTTTTATTTCCGGCATTTTAATTTTCGAGAACTCGGGTGCTTTGAAGCGCTTGCGTTCCTTAGCTTTGGGACTTGACGAGGCTGGTTTCTTTGCAGGCGTGCGCAACTTTGTTTTAATTCTTCCAGCCTGGGTCTTTATGCCGGCCTGCATTTTGCGAGTACGATCCTGCGCGCTGGCCATGAAACCCTTTTTACGGTTTTCTGGCTTCAGCGGCAGCTCTTCCAAGGCACTTGAATCCACTTGACTAGTGTGTATTTCATAATCCGTACGCGACTCTGTACGAGGTGTTGTGGCTTCAGAGCTCAAATAACGTTCTTCCAAATCTTGTTGAAGATCTTCTGCGTCTCTGATTTCCTCGTGTAGCATTGCAATATTCCGTGACAGATTTAATTGCTCCGACGGCGCAGAGGCATTCCCACTATCTGACGGCGATGCGATCGGTTCGTACTCATGATCACTAAAAAATAAAACAAGTTAAAGTTAAAACTACGATTGTTAAACAAAAAAAAAGAATAAACCTAAATAAGTTGGTAAAGCTAGTACAAATGAGTTTGGTGGGAAGCTAGCGTTAAAATGAGATGTGTTTAATAAAATAGATAACTTGTTGTGCTGTTCGTGAATTGTGAGTCATTCCTCAGTTTATATGATAGTGCATCTGGAGAGACAAGCAGGATTACAAAACTGTCGGTAAAAAAGTTCCCAGACGACATTGGGTTTCATTCTTACCGAGCAAAGTACGTCCGTTCGAGAAATTCTCTGTTTTCTTTATGCTGATTCGACAGATTGGAACTTTCGAAGTCTGACAAACGCGATTTGCGTTCGTCGAAATTGAAACTAACCGTCTTAGTCATTCGGCCACTGTACAAATCTTCATGTGAGCCGTGCAATTTTCGAGCGCGGTCTTGCGACTGTGTTCGACCATCGTTGAAGGAAGGTTTACGTACCAATTTCGACATACCAATCCGCCCATCCGCAGACGGAGGACGTGACACAGTGTATTGTGAAGCTCCAACAGATGACGTTCGTTGGCTTAAATCTCCACTAACACTACTAGAACCAATATTTATCGGCACTGAAATCAGAGTGCCTTTTGGAATATGGAAATGGCTAACACTTCCGCTCCCAACTGATGGTTCCTTACTGGCTCTATTAAACTCGGATTCACTGCGACGTGATTGTGAATCCATTTCGCTTGAATAAAATCTTCTATTTCCGGCCATAAACTGCTCTCTGCTTAGTGCAGGTACAACAACGGGGGCAAATGCATCGGCTATGCTTATGGAGGATTGCTCTATCGTGGAAAAGTCTTCGCGACTGCTGTATGCTGTGATGGGTGGGGTTGGCTGAACGGAGCTCGGTGGCGGTTTGGATGGACGCGCGTTGTATTGATCCATTTCATCGACTTTTAGAGAAAACGTCTCCCTCACCTTCACCGACATTGGCTCCTTTTCCGATGCCTTCGTTACGACGGCCGAGGTGCCAGTGCTTATCGACATGGGTGTGGGCTTAGACTTTGAAAACATTCCCATCAGCTTAGTTGGTATTGGCGAAGGAGATTTCTCACGCTGGGGTGTAGGAGATCTTCCACGCGCCGGCGATGGGGACCGTCGACGATCGGGTGTTGAAGTGGGCTCACCTGGTGGCGTTGCACTTTTATTGGATGCGAACATTGATTTAAAGCGTGAGGTATACGAGGACTTCACTTCCGGTGGGACGTCTTGCAACGGTATTTCGTTACTCATGTCGCTGAAGTGCATTTCAATGGTCTGCGCGTCCATTTTCTGCACACTAGGTACTGCCTTTTTGCTACGATCCGGCGACATATTTCGTTCTGGCGAGCGTTGTCGCTTAAGCGCCTGCTGTTTTCCCAACACACCAAGGGACAAGCTGCCGCTAACAACTGTCCCGGGCAATTGCAACGTGTCCATTGCATGAGGCGATTGTGGACGAATTGGAGAAGGCGATTTGGAACGCAACCTTGCCTCGATTGCCTTTCGCGTCTCACTCTGCACCAGCTGATCGACATCCACGGCCGGTACTTTACTGATTATTTGAATGTTTGTCTCTTCTACGGGATGCAATGTGGAAGGATGTGTTATATCGCCGGAAGGTAAAGGAGGTGGAGTTGTTCGCAACCGAATATTGTCATTCACATCTTCAATATTTCTGTTGGCTGCTATGTTCTCTAACTCAGCAACTTCCTGCAGTAGAGGATCTTTTTTGGTTATAGTGGATGGCGCGGCTACAGTGGGTTTAGGTGAAGTAGCCCGCGCAAAAGGTCTCCACCCACCTGCAGTCTTAGTTGTCAACTGCGGCGACACCTCTTGTATCTTCTCATCCGAATAGGAAGAAAACTGCGACACATCGATCGGCCGGTTCTGAGGCATCAGCTCTCCAAAATCTACGTAACGTACGTTTTCCTTATTTTCCTCTGGACGCATATAGTCTGTGGATACAGGTGGTTTAGCAACACGGTAATCCGTAGCGACTGGTGAGGGCGACCTTTGTCTAGACGCTGTTGCGCGCTCAAAGTCGGGACGCATATCCGCTGCATCAGTGGTTGGCGTGGGTGCTATGAGATTCACTTTGGGAGCCGCCAACTGTTGACCTTGATCCCGAAGCGGTGGTGGAGAACCGAGCGGAATCACTGGTGAACTATCAGCCATGGACAGCGCTAAGGCAGGCGTTCCCCGATGTGAGGCAAAATGTGATAAGTCAACGTTGGAAGTGCGACGACTGGTACTAGCTGAGCGCATTTCGTATCTCTCAGGACGCTTGGTCGGTATATTAATATCAGCCACAAAAAGGTCAGACTTGGATGGCGAGCGAGAGATGCGTCGCAAAGAGGTGACACTGCGCGTTGACCAAGCGTCCGGGTCGCGCATACCTCCGCTAGACATGCGGCTCAGCGACATTTGCCGTCTACGTTGACCTGCCATAAATGATGCTGGTGGGCCCATTTCATTTTCTTTTGCATCAGAGATACTACGCACCACCAATCCATGAGAACGCGCTACCTCTTCCAATTCGGGATATTTTTCAACAAAGGACACATCTACTTGCGGTGTACTATCGTCAAGGATACGCTGACCGCCTATGCTGCGCATCGAGATGCGGTCAATGTCCATGTGTGGCGGGTGTCCGCCAATCTGGTAGCTGCGAGTTGAGAGCTGGTCCATCTGCGCCATGGAGTCCAGATGGATGCCCTGAAAGTGGTTTGGAGAATGCAGATGCTCATGATGATCACTGCCCAAGTCGCTGTGGAATCCCATAGCCGAGGTCGGACGTGAATCACCAGCGGGGTTTATGCGTTCGGGGAGCAGCGAGTCGCATTGAAAGTATTGGCAAGCGCAGCGAACGTCGAGCGAAGCTCCACTACTGCTTTCGGTGCGCGACACGAAATGCTTCTTCTCGCGCGGCAATGCGCCGACTGAGGCCGATCGTCGGGGGTTCATACTCACAAAATCTTTGTTGTAAACAGCTGAAACGGGGCAATACAGTCAGCTAGTCAGCAGGTCGAAGTAAGGCGGCAGGTGCAGACCAATTTACTTTGTAAATGATGGCCACTTTCATAAGCGACAATCGCGCTCAAGGATCGCTGTATATATGTTGATGTTGGTTCGTGTGTATGTTTACGTTTACGTTTCTTTTTTGGCTACCGCTATTTTTAAACACACAAACAAAGGTAGTGCGCGCAGCTAAGCATAGCAAATATTTTTTCTTATTTTTGTTTCGAATGTGTCGTGAAATTGCTTTATTTTATATTATATTAAAAGATTAAAAGAAGGAAGTTTATTCTCGTTCGGGGTGGTTTGCTTCTTATAGCTTCGTGGAGTGACTGGGAGACTTTGCCATACGGTATAACGACGTTTCTCAAAACACCAGCGATTACCAATTATTACCGTTACTACAAGAGTTAAGTAGGAAACAGTTACGTATTACGGCCTATACACAATACACAATTAGTTAGAAATCTTGAATAAGGCTGCACGAACTAGCACTACAAAGTATTAGACACTTGCAGCCAACAATTTGCTTGTTCGTATTTGCTGGCACATCGTATATATGCTAGTATTTTAAGGAATTTTAAAATAGATCTATTTTTTGTCACAGCCGCAACTGACGACGCTATTCGCGCGTCCAAAGCCAACCGAATGTCTGCATCGTTGCGAATTTCAGCCAGGACTGAGAGCTTTTCATGCTTTCGCCGAACATGCAAGCGAATGGACAAAGAGACGAACACTTGACGACGACACGGCTAGCTATGTCTTTGTGTCACCCGAAAGCCCGTAATTGTCTTCATATTTAAATTTAGCCAAAAGAGCAGCATATTGTAAGTTATTTTGCTGATCCGTTCAGCGACATCGAGCGGCCAAAGCCAAATATACAAAAAGAAAATTATATGTATCTGCGATTTATATATAAATAAAATGATGTTAATAATTGTGTTTAGCATTTGCTAAAATATTTGCTGTTTTGGCTCGACTACGACTGCCAGAATGACGGACGTCGGACGAGCACTTCACGCTGCGAAAGAGACGCACTTGACAGCCGCCTGAATGGATGGATCGCTTGTCTATGTAAACAACTTCTGAAAAGCAACAATTTGCTTTTGTGATGTAATAACTAACTGCCTATGTATGAAAAAAAGTATATCTTCGCTATGATAAAGTGTAAATCCATGCCGGAAAGGAAGTTGATTCGAATAAATTAAGTAGGCGGCGCAAAGAAGCCGAGGTAAAGTGACGCTTCTAAACATCTGGTTACAGTTGTTCAACAATATCTACGGTGACCATCCGTCCTGTGTTATACGGGACAGTCCTCTTTTTTTCGTCAGTTGTCCTGGCAATTTATTTATTTCATACGGGACGCCAAGTGTTCTGTATTTCTTCAGTGTCCCGTATTCGGTATTTCGGCGCCTGCTGTTAGCTCATAAAAATGAAATGCCTCTGGACCAGATTTTATTTTTTAATGCTGGATGCTTGTGATTCGAATCGAGGATCACATGTGTAGGTGGTTTCTGAAGTTATAATTTTGCGTAGAAAAACTGGGTATTTGTGAGTAGGAGTCGAAATTAGACGTTAATGATTATGGTTCAAATTTCTAAGGGCCGAATTCACAGTGCTTAGTTAAACTCTTGTGAACTTAACCACCAACAAAGGTTTAACTATGAATTTATATTCAGCAATGTGCCGTGGTGTGGAGACAATATTAAAATTTTGTGAAAAGAGAAGATATTCATTAGGCGAGACTACACCAAACAAATTTTTCCTGAATGTATGTTCAACATAAGAAACTCCAAATAAGAAGGCTACCATGAGAATAATGTACTAAAAGTAAATAAGTTTCCAAAGTTGGAAGGGAAGTGTAATTATTCAAAGGTACGATTTGTAATTCTGCTCATTCCGGATGCTATACACTGCATTGCGCTTGGCCGAAATCAAATTCTGAAAATAATCCGTTGAATATTACTCGTAGTTCAAAAGTTGTCGGATATTTTCACCAGGTTTTCGTGGCTAGGAATGTTGGTAACAAATTTTGCGGGGTAAAAATCCCGAGCCCACAGTATAAAGTTATGAGAAAATATCCTACAAATGTGTGATGTTACAACTGAATATTTATGCGCTACTTTCACAAAAGATCGAAAAACATAAGCCAAATAAAAATGCTGTTCCTGGGGTAATAAATATAGGATCATTGAAAGAGGCTTTAAAATCTTCTAGCTTTGTGGCTAAATTATTTCTTGTCCCGTATTAGGGATTGCTATAAATATGGTCAATGTAACTATAGCAGCCCATGTACGGGATGTAGCAATCAAGTGCTGTGGAGCTTTGGGCTATGGCAAATTTTGAAGTCGTTGATGAAACCGCCCTGCTTTGATGACGGTCCGGTCTTACTAGGCTTTGGCAGCATGCTCTTGTGATGTCTGATATCTTAGTGTCTTAGTTGCCTATGCTTGGATTTTTGATGCTCTCGTGAGAGTAAATGCTCCTACTAGGAGATGCTGATCATACGGCGATCTCCTATAAAAATAGAACGGTAATCTGGTAAAGATGTCCAGAGTACGCTCAGATCTGGAGGTAATGCTGATTTCTGCTGAATGGCAGAAATAGTCTCTTTTGCGACAGCGAATACCGGATGCGAAGAAATGAGGATACATATTTAGTTCAGTGAATTAAAATACATCGGCTCCTCTGGATAGGCCCTCGTATGAATGGAGGAAAGGCTCGAATGAGAGTATTCGATGCGGCACCCGTTGGTAACCGACGAAGACAAGGACTTAGCTTTACTCGCCGACTGGCGGTGCTATATTGAACTAGGGAAAATCGCTCAAACGGCTATGGCGCCAATCAATAAAAAGAGAAATCGACTTCCACGAAGAAGTCTGAATCTGCGTTGGATATTAAGAGCGTGATTTTTGTAACCGTGGGGTCTTGCGGTAGCTTCTATCCTAGACAATGGTGTCGCAAAGGCATACCCATAGCCCAATTAAGGCATTAAATTTTAGACAACTTTCTGAAACATCTAAGGGCTCTGAATACCCAGTTGAGAGTTACATACTTATACGTACGTCAATGTTAATCAATATGCTTTCCGAAAATATTTAGCAATCTAGAATGCCCTTTAAAAATACCTGTATTTAATTCTTACTGAGTTGGGCACAATTGAAATAATTCATTGATACACTCGAACGCCAACGAACATCTGTACAAATAATTTAATGCTTTCATGGGTAATTCTGTGTCAAATCGACCAGTGGCTGGACTCGACCCCTTTCGATTTGGATGAAATTTGATCAGAAGTTTTTTTTCAACCTCTAATGAAGTTCAGCCAACAGAAAAAAAAAAAAAAAAAATGTTTGCAAAATTAAAAATTTCACTGTTTTTCAAGTTAATTTTTTAAATATCTCAAAAACTTCTTCAAAAGCTTCAAAAAAACATCTTGGAATCGTCTTAGAGAGGATACTTTGGGCTACAAAAATATATGTACATATTAAAAAATATATAAAAAAAATATGAAAAAATTGCAAAATTGCAAAATTTTTAAAATTGAGTAAATCAAAAACTAATATTTGTTTTTAGCTAATTTTTTTTTGCATGGTACCTCTGCATGTTCTTAAAAGATATGAATTTTTAAGTTTTGGTAAAAACAAAAAATATTTTTTTTTTTCGCAAGCTATTAATAAAATATTACACTTTGCAACAATTTTAGGGTCGTGGAATCTAACGGGGTTGACACGAACATAGATGTGTAATGCTGGATTAGTGTAACAGAACCCTAAGGGCTATTTGCTCAAAGCCTGGTTGACACTTATCTCCGATTAACATCGTTATCGACCTCTTTGACTCCATGCATATAACAGCGTGTCGGTAACGGTATAACAGGGTGTAACGATAACGATTTTTAGCCGGCGATTAGTGTAAACCAGGCTTTCAGAAAACCAGGTAAAAGTTAAGATTTTGAGTATTAATATTTGATTCCCATTCAATTTTAAAATCATTTTAACATTTCCAGATTAAAACGAAGAGATGTGGCATCAACGCCAGAAAAAGGAGGAAAAACGACCTAGCTAACATAATATATGTATTTTGAGAATGGATATGAAAATCCATTTAATAAAAAGGCAACTTTACTAGTGTACAGTACCACTCTCGATAAATGGCGACAACCTCGGTTATCGCAACAACCACTGATTTAAATTTTTCGCTATTACCGAGGGTATACTGTGCTTTGTTGTCGTTTGCTCGTCTTACACGTAATACTTGTTGCTCAAAATACTAAAATTTAGTATTAATTTGATAAAATTTTATTAGATAATAGATTGCGAAAGAAAAAAGTTTATTTTTTCCAAAACTCAAAAATTCATATCTTTTAAAAAACAAAAAAACACCTCCGTGAAAATTTTAGAATCTTTTAAGAACATGCAGATGTATAATGCAAGAAATAAATATCCCAAAAAAATATTATTTTTTGATTAATTCAATTTTGAAAATTTAGCAATTTTGCAATTTTTTTATTTATTTTTAATTTATTTTTTAATAAATATATATTTGTAGCCCCAAGTATCCTCTTCAAAACGAGTCCAAGGTGTTTTTGCAGCTATAATAGTTGTTGAGATATTAAAAAAATTAACTTGAAAAACTGGAAAACTAGTGAAATTTCGAATTCTGCATAACTTTTGCAACGTTTTTTTTTTTTTAATTTCTTTCTGTTAGTGAAACGTCATTATAGGTTAAAAGAAAACTTCTGACCTAATTTCATCCAGATCGAAAGAGGTCGAGTCCAACCATTGTTCGATTTGACACAGAATTACCTTCATAGAAAAAGTAAAATTACGACTCACCTCTGGTATTTTCGTGTTGTTTGAGTAGATACATATGTAAATATGAACATACTACATATGTGTGTAACAGTAGATGCGCGATGCTATTTTTTGTGTGGTGATTTTCGTATGTGTGTGCATGTCGATTTATATTTACATATATGAATTAGTGGGTGTTGGTTAAGATTATTTGATCAGACATTGCATTTTTGCATTTTTCTTGTTTGCCTGCCTGCAGTTGCGTGAAGTTAGTAATAGTTTCATGAAATGTATTAGCGAATTATTGTGTCTGAAAGCAATGCACATACATATGTAAGTGTGTAAATATTTATGAACTCATAGATTCGATATAGAAAGCTGAAAATTTTCACATGCAGTCCATTGAATTCGACACAGTGGACTCACCTCATCTTCGTCCATTTCTTTCGCTGAGCGGCCTCCTGCGTGGCCTCTTGCACTTCCGTTGGCAATTCGATGTCCTCTCGATGGGGCTCTGCTTCGTCCTCAACATGCGAGAAGGTTACCTTTTTGTCGGACGGAGCTGGTGATGGCTCCTTCTTAATAGCTGGCTTTAGATCTAATGGCTCGTGATCTTCGACGATGCGAAGATTAGTATCCCCACTAGCCGCATCACTTTCTTCCATTACTGGGGATAGTTGAGTGCGATTCCGATCCTCGTCCGATGAGGCAGAGTCGATGGATGAGAGCGGCGCGAGCAAACTCATGGCTGGCTTATCAATGGCTGACGTTCCAGCAGCGGCGGCGCCTGCAATTTGCTCCTCCTCACTGCTGCCCATTCGATCAAGTGGCAGAGACTTTGCTCCTTCTTCAATATGCCTTAATGTTGAGCTGTCTTGCTTGGCCAATGATTGTTTAAGTGCCTCAACAGCCCCTAGCGGCAGTATATTAGCGTCTCCAGCCGCAGGCTGAGCCAAAGCTTCCGCCTGCACCTCCGACTCTATTTCTTCATAGACGTGTTCTCGTCGCAGACGTGGGGCTTTCCTTGGCGCTGGGGCAGAAGTCGCCACAACCTCAGTCGGCGGAGTAGATATGCTCTCACTTACGTCTGCTGTTACATCTGGCTCGTTTGCGGTGGATGCAGTGCTGATAGTTGGCGTGGCTCTGCCATCTTTTAACGAATCGGGAATTTCGATTATCTCATCGGGCACAACAATGCCAGCTGCCTCCGACTCATTTGTATCCATTGGTTGATCCGCATGATGAGAGGAATTTTCTTCTTCTTGTCTGCCATCATCCCTGCGCTTTCGACTTGGTGACTCGTCTAGCTCCATTATTTCCATTTCCAGTACATCGTCCGAATCTTGTTTCTCTATGAAGTGAGGTATTTCGCCACGTTCTGCTTTTGGAGACTTCTTTAATTTGAGAATTTTCGTTTCTTCCCCTAGCACAATCTTCTCGTCCTTGCCCAAATGAATACGCCGTATATTGAGCCGTTTCTTTTGGCGGTCCGCCATGCTTTTCAACTTCTTCATTATGGGGTAGCAATGCTTCTGTTCTGTATTCTTACCGTTAACAAGTATCTGGGGGTTAGGTTGCGGTATATTTTCCTGGCTATGGTGTCGACTACTGCTGGTCGACGCGCAAGGCAGTGATTGTGCGTCTTCGTTCGAGCGTCCACCCTTACGACGTCGGAGATAACCGCGAATTTTATCCAACCGAGTGGGCTTTCTGGGCCTGCCAGTTGCGAGTATAGAGTCAGAGACACAAGAAATGCTTTCGCTGCGCAAGCTGTGCGTTTCCTCGTCTTCGGGCGCCGATTGCAGATAGTCTTCTTCGCCTTCGGAAAGCTCTTGTATATACCGCTCGGGTTGCTTCACAACAACTTGCTCGTCAATGCGAACCTTCTTCAATGACTTAGGAGACTCTGAAACAAAGCGAAATTCTTGTGACTTTCGCAAGAGTAGCACAATTTCCGGCTCCTCGTCTGGTCCAAGCGGACGTTTGTACAGGTGTGTCCAAGGATAACCGCCCTAACCAAAGCAAAAGATTAAAATAAGTAACTAAATATATCTGTGCACATATGTATTTTATATCTCCACTAACTTACCCGATCTTTTGCGCGCCGTAGATCCTCCCACCGATATGTCTGCAGTGGTACTGGTGGTCGGTCAGTGTGGCTCTGTATAAGGTACTTCTTCAGTGACTGATAGTATTCGCGCTTGCAATCGTCGGCAAGTTTCTGCGCCTCTGCGTTGCTATCGATGTGCGGCAAAGACTCCAAAAACAGCTTACGGTCCTGTACGTCCGACGGTGTTTTCGGTGAAGGCACGTTCACAATTTTAAGCTCGTTTGGTTTCGTTTGATCGACGTCAACTTTTAAGGCTTCACCGTTGCTGTCGCTCCTCAATTGTGTGGTGGCGTGGCTCGGTTTCGATGACTTGAGTATGCTCGTTACTTCCGACAACTGTGCATCGACCTTTTGTGACAGTGAGTTGCTTATTTCGTCTAGTAATGAAGTGGTTTGTTCAGTCTTTTCTTCTTTTTCTTTTCGGTAAAGTATTTCCGCCGTGGAGGTCTCAGTTTTTACCTCCGTGGATTTATTAGCTCCAGCGTTAGCTTTAAGTTCGTTTTTTGCTTCGCACTTTTGCAGTGCCTCCAACACCTCACGTTCTATTTCATTCACTAGCCTCTCGGCGGCCTCTTTAATCGCGTCGCTAGCCACAGACGGTTCTATACGTTCCGCCGCCTCCGGTTCTGGCACGGTCGCCGTTTCGATCAGAGTTTTCGTTTCGCTTTTTGATTCGGCTTCAGCAATTCGCTGCGCTTGTCTCGTCTGCACCACAGACTCAATAGGTTTTTTTGATATTGCGCCCGCCGGTTCCACTTCGATTACCGTCCGCAAATTCGCTTCCGTCTCAATTTTCGACGAACCTCGTATCAATTCATCTTGCTGAGGCGGCAATTCGTTTATACCAACACTGTCGTCAGGTGTTTGATACTCGTCGTATGTCTCTATTAAATGAGATTCAATATCAAGTACATGACCCTGATCGGCACTTCCGCTATTACTGCTGCATTGTCTCGCAACGGTTGGCGGTGGTGAAATAGTTTCTTTCGTCGCTTCTGTGTCGCCCCTTTCGGTCGAATTAGGTATTTGGCTCGTTGCACTTTCGTTGCTACAACTAGTTTCGTTGTTAGTTAGACTATGTTTGCTGCTGACTAGATCATCATCGTTGGCCCCCGCTGTGTCCGAGGTATCCACTTCCGTTGACGACTTCTCTACATACACCGGCGCATTGACTGTACCACTTGGAGCGGCTGTAACCGTTATTGCAGGGCTCGATACTGCTGCAGATTGCGATGCGGCCTCTGCTGGCGATCCCTCTTCTGTTGCTTGCGGCTGTGTGTGTTTGTTGTTGATCACTTCAAGTATAGTTTGCTGCTGCTCGGTTGGACTAGTTCCAGCACCGGGTAATGACACTATAAGTAAGAGAAAATGCAAAATCAACAGACTGTGCTGCAGTGGTCGGTTCTCTAATTTTAGTTGAATGGAATTTCAAATACATTGGACCACAACAATTCGTTTTATGCGTGAAACGAGAAACAAGTGATCGGGGCACACAGAACTCATGAAACGTCAGCAAAACTATTGCACGAACAGATATAGACAGAGACAGAAGTGTATACAATAGGGCGCGCGTTACATAAGAATGAATGACGAGATTATGGAAGAATTCCCACAGCTAAATAAGCAAGGCGGGGAAAAGACGAGTAAGTAGCCCAAGGACGTCTAATAACTGTAGCGGCAAGTGCTTGTAAATATGTATATTCGGACTTATGCTTGACGGCTAATGATCCTTCTGGCACTTCAACGCACCTGTTTACATATATACACACACTAAACAACTATGAATTTATGTACCACACTTTGTACAGACCAAACAGTCGCTGAAATGTAATTACGAAATACCCGAAAAACAATTTTAAACGAACTAATTGTTCGGAGCAAACCGCGAACTACATACATACATACATATGTACATATGTATGTAAAGTCAAAAATTTCTAAATTTCCCCAATCTCATCACAGTTTTTCTTTCGTAAAATTTTAGTGTACATACATATCTACTTCAATGATTCCGAGCACTGTGTAAGTGTGCTAGCCATATTTTTAGCGTAAATACTCAAAAAAAAAAAATACCTTTTCACTCGTATTCTAAGAATCTAGGTTTTAAATTCGTTTCGTTTTATGTTTTGTGAAATTGTGAAAGTCCCAAAAAATATATCAATAAATAATTTGACTTTCGAAAAGTAACCGCGCAATGCTCTTTCACCGCAGATATTCGCCCCGATCGCGCTTGTGACCTTAAGCACACTGATGGGGGCAGTTAGTTGAAATTCGCAGGAGATCGCTCGTGGGCTGCTGGCTGCTGTCCGCCAGTGGCACTTTTCAACATTAGGCGAGCGAATTGAGTTAGTTAGTTTTTTTTTTGTTCAATTTCACTAATGTGTTTTCTGGTTGGATTTTCTCTATTCACTTGGGTTTTCTGAGTTTTCGAGCGTTTATTTCGAATTTTCTCTTTAACTTTAGCTCACAACTATGTATGTATGTATGTAGTTCATATTTTCAATTTCTGTTGGTCGAATTTGTTTTAGTGTTAAAGAACTTGGGTTGTTAATTGTTTTATATTTGCGTCTGCGTTTGCATGCGTCACTGTATGTATGTGTTTTTGTGTGTCTGTTCTATGGATGTGAATGAGTGTCTTCATACATTTGCCTGTTTGCTCTCGCAATTGGCATTTTCATGTGCAACTCGTATGCGATTTTTCAGATTTACACTCTTGTATGTATGTATGTATGTATGTATGTGTATGCATATGTAAACAGAAAGAAGTTAATTTGGACATGGTCTGTTTGTGCTCAATATTGGTCGAGTAAATATGTGCCTATAGTAAGTATGTACATACATATGTATGTTCTTGAACTAACGCAGCCAGAATATACAGACGGCATACATGTTGCGCGTGCCTTTGAATTGGACTATGTTTAAATCCAACGCTTGGGGAGCGTGAGGAAGTATTTTATTTATTTACATTTTTAACTTTTTTTACGATCATAAGCGGAATATTTAATTGTGATCAGCTAAAGCAAGCGTGATATGAAACACTTAGTTTATTCGCGTGGAAGACAAGGGGGGGCCAAGTGAATTATCTCAAATTTAATCCTGCAATAGAATATCCACAACGGATTTGAGTTTCCAGAACCCATAAGGAGAAATGTATGGCTTCGTATTACCCGATACTAGAAATGGGCGCGGGATATCGGGACCCGCGGGACCCACGGGACCCTGATTTCAAATTGGCCGGGATGGGCGGTATCGGGAAGGTCTGTGAAATTTTGCGGGCGGGACGGGACCAAAATCCTTTGCCGACACTCCCGATAAAATCGCAACCTCAGCAAATTCGAAAGATCTTCCTTGAAAACGATGTGTGAATTATGCACTTTTTATGTTTTATTGGGACGGAAACGAACAGTAAAGTAAAAAAAAAAATAATCGGAAGAAGCCAGATCTTTCTCAGAAATTATCAGGCCTATCGAAAAGTGATGTATATACGGCTTATGGAGAAATTCATTGGCTTTCATTTACCCTATTTCGTATTACGATTGTTCAATTGGTTCGTAAGATATACGTGACTATGTAGAACATCTTTTCTTTAAGCTGAATAACGGTAAATTGCAAATATTTCGAAAACGTATCCATAGAAAAAAAATCAAGTCGATTTTCGGAATCACCAAGCAATTCCATAGAACATTTTCGCTATAAACCAGCCTAGATTTTTTTTTGCGATTTAAATAGTTGCATATGCTGCAGTCGTAGAAACTCGTTACTTGATTCATCAACGTAAATCTATTTAAAGTAAAAAAAAACTTCGCTTGGCGCCAAATAATAGGAGTTTTAGTTTGAAATAAACACGGTATGGCTTTTTTCACAGTGTACCAACACACAGTAGTGCCGATTTATACCGCCTTTTGCCTCTTTAATTCATACGTACTATAATGAAAGCTTCGTTTATAAAGAAAATTGTAAGAATTTGTTAAAAAAACGGAAAAACCACTCAATATTTTTCTAAAAAAAAAAATATGAAAATGCTTTTTACAAGCTTTTCTTTAGCTTTCCCTGTATGTATGTATGTATGTTTATCAGGGAATATACATTTTTAACCAATTTCTCGATGACCTAGAGACTTAAAACTTCACAGTTGGCTTAGAACCCGATGACAATACATTAATTACATGAAAAGGAATAACTCCATAAAAAAAAATTGCCGATAGATGGTGCAGGGGTCGCCTTAAAATTTGAATGTCGTTTTTGACTTTTTCTGACTTGTAACTAGGGTGTTTGATTGTTCGCCTTTTTTTTCAAAACCGATTTTTGATTTATTCGAAAAATTGAAATAAAAAAAAACCGGTTCCCGATTTTGAAATTAAAAAAAAAAAACAACGCGGATAAACCGGTTTTATATTATACAGTAAAAATGGTAGAGAAGTTATGGCTGCTACTTCTGAGATCACCACATCGCCTCACATCAGACTTCTGCAATTTGAACTCGCAAATTCGGCTGTCAACCCACGGTGGTCTTACCCACGGAACTAAGTTCGCCATGTAAATTGTTGTTGCTTTTTCCACTTTTTCATTTGGTCAACCCAACTACAATCAAGGGCAACGACTTTTGTTGCTATTTAGACTTCATCATGTGGTTGTTGTTGGTTTATGTTAAGATTCTATTTTTAAAAAATACTTAACCTTAAGGTGTGCTTGTCCTTTTTAAGTTAAGTAAAAATTTGTCTGCTCTTTCATGGACTTAATTTGCATGGTTTAATTTTCAATAAAATGGGGTTAATTTGCGAAAAAATTTATAAAATTGATTTGCTTCTTTCTATCCGTACTGTATATAATATTCGAATGTATGTATATTGCACCATCATGATGTCTCTAAGCCGATTTCAAAAAAAAAAAACTTAATATACTTTTAATTTTTCTTCAAAAGAAAGTAAAACTAAAGCATTTTGAAATCCGCGGTGCTTAACCGGTTAGTACGTATATTTACTTATCGCTGGTCTATCGTGTATACATATATATTCATAGGTACAAAGTTTCATTTAATCTCGTTGGATGTCAGTTTGGGATATTCTTTTCAGTTTGCAAAATAAGCGCTTTTTTATATACATATATATTTCATTTAAGGCGTGCTTTATTTTTAGATATTTAGCTCACACATTAGCGAGTTCGCATCTTTTTTTTTCATATTAAATAAACATAAATGTCATGTATGTGGGTCTGTTGTGTTCCTTTCAGTTTTATTTTACGCAAAAATACAACTATGTGCCTATGCGCATACATACATATGTACATATGTATACATTTTACATTTTACAGACGTTTGTGACGGTCTCGTGTTATTTGGCAATGCCAATTTTTTTAATTAACAATGAAAATTTCAAAAATATGGGCCAACACGATAAATTTTAAGCAATAAAGGCTCGTAGATATTCATATATGTACATAAGCACATATGTACAAGTAAAGTACGTATGCGTAACAATTCGTAGTTTCTAACCTCAAACTATTATCTAGAATCGATTAAAAGAGTAGCGGTATTTAGGTTCATTCTGCTCAGTCTAGCGCAAACAAATGGTTCACTCGAATTGATCTCATTTCCATTTAAGTATTTATTTCCCTTTTGGAAATTTACAATCTACATTGGGTGGGTGCGAGTTCCGCCAAAGTTTTTTTTTCCATTTTTGCGCAAATCAACAACAAAATTGGCGACTCATCAAAGTCAAGTTCAATGTGCAAAGATGATGCAAAAGCTACATACAACTACAAAGCTGTGTCTACATTCGTTAACGTTAACCGTTCCTCACACTTTCACTTCGACTGCAACCACCCGCACGCACTCAAAGCTAGCTGTACGCGTCAGTTTTGCCTACCTACCGCCGCATGCCGTTTTTAGGGCAGCTGAGCAGCGGTGACGTACTCGCACAACAGTAAAAGTCGCATATGGAAGGAAACCTTGAACTAACAACAAACACACTTCGGCACTACTTAGAGGAATAGCACAGACATCAGTACTTGAATGTGTATTTGTAAACTTCGTACGTATGTACATACATATGTCACACGCTACGTATACGTAACATTCAATTTTTTTTTAAGAACCGTTATGTGATTTTCACTCTAATATTAGAAGGATTCTCCAATGTCCCAAAAGGGCTTCAGCGTTTATCAAATCACAATATGTATGTATATGTGTGTGTGTTAGTAGGTCATTAGAATGACTCGGCGGCCACTCACCGTAGTTGCCCGCAACACTAAGGAACACATAAACCATTGTCTTTCACTGCGCGAATATTTGCAATTTTTATTCTACTACTCGAAACACGAAGGAGCTCCAATTTCGCGCCTATTTGGTATTTTT